GCGCAAGCAACTGAACCGCCTATGATGTCATAATCACAATCCCATTACCTCATCCTGTTGGGGGGAGGGGAGAGGGAGGACAGAGAGTGCACAGCCCTGGGCCCCCCTCAGCTTTACAAAGTGTTTTGGGTGTGAGCAAATTACAGAACCAAGTGGGCACGGCCCCGTAACCTTATAAGTGCTGGGTTTATAAGGTTCGACCAGATCCAGCAGCTGAAGAGAGGCTCCAGGGACTCAGAGCAGGCCGTAACCGGCGCTTGGACTACATTTCCCAGCAGTCTTCACGCCCAGGACCGGTCCTTTGTTGGGGGCAGGGGGGGTTCTTTCAGAAAGCTGGGCCTGTCGCTCCGAACAGGAGAGCAGGTGAGAGGCACAGTGGATGATTTTATTAAGCGGCCTTGATGGAGTAAGAGGTTGCATCTGGGTCAATGTAGGGATGAACAGCGGGGCCAATGGCTTTGTTTACCTTCGTCTGACAGGACCTCCCCCGCGAGTTCCAAGATATGCCTCTAACTGGGTCCATCCACTTTCTGCGATCATTTGGAGGGGTGACTCGTTAGGGGCGGGACCACTCCGTCCCTAAACCAAAAAGCCACCCGCGTTCACCACCGAGCTATACTAGGAAGACTTTAAGAGACAAACGACACAGGGCTTGGGCCTCAGCGGGGGGGTTCGTAGGAATTCTGCGAACCGGAGAGATCTCCCTACTTTCCTCAGTGGCCTGTTGGTTCGCGCCGGCGCCTTTTAAGGGCACCGTGGGGCGAACGGAGCACTCAGAGCTGCTTTGGCCGCGGCCCTGGGAGCTGAAGGAGCCGCGGTAGGTGGCGGAGGGCAGGTGGCTCTGGGGCCTTGGGGCGGGCATCTCCACTGTCCCTCCTTTCTCTTTCCCCTCCCCCAGCTCAACCGCCCGTGCGGCCGGGCCTCAAAGGCCGCCTCCGCTGGGAGAGCACAGGACCCGGTGGGGGAGGGGTGGGGGAGTGCTAAGTCCCAGACCTTCCCCATCCCCTGCGTCCTAAGTTCGCTTCCCACGGCCCCATTATAGAACTGGAGCGGGAAGAGGCGAGCGACAGTCCCCCCCTGAGCGAGCCCTGGCACCCCCGGGGGGGGGCAGTGGAAGCCCCATGCCCCACCCCGCGGGGACAGGCAGGGCAACAGAGGGAGAGATTGAAGATTGTAGGGGGTCTAGCCGTTTGCTTCTTCATCGGAGTGGGGGGAGGGGTGCTCTCCACTTGTCACCCCTATCCCCTCCAGAACCTATATGGAGGAAGAGCATTCGGGTCTCCACTTACCTGCTCTTGCACTTCCCTGCCTCCTTCATGTTTTCCTTCAGTCCCCAGAGGTCTGGAGGCTGGGACCTGAGGGAAAGGTCCCTAGGGGATTTGTGGGTCTCCTCTCCCTTGGCCTGACCTGATCCTAGGTTGTCCAGGTTTCAACACAACCTCAGCATCTCTGAAACACTAGTGTCAGGGATTACTGCCATCCAATAGGAGAGGAAGAGGGGATCAAATTTTTATTTTAAGGGGGTTGTGCTGGAGAGAGAGCCTGGACTGAGGGTTAGGCCTGGTGGGGTTCCTGGGAGGGCCTAGCGGCCCGCTGCTCTCTGAAGGGCTGAACCCCGTGCCAATTGTTAAGCTGAGAAGTTTTAACTTGTCTAGTGAATGTTCAGGGCTATCTCTACCCCTCAGATACACAAAATGGAAGGGAAAGGAAGACAGCAAGAGAGGGCTTCTTACACTTTTTTCAGTGCCTGCTTGAGAAAGAGGAGGCCCCTCGCAGAGCTGGTTTGCCTTCTTTTGTGTCCTGGTTTGATTCCTTATGGCTTCCGTTCTGTTCCACCTCTCTGGCCTGTTTTAGGAAACTCAGGCTGAGAGTATCAGTTGCATAGCGGTAGTTACATTGTTCCAGTTACCTCTGTGTGGCCATATCCCAACAATTAAAATACAGAAAAACACAAAATCACCCTCTTCACTTGATCTTAGAGAGGCCTGAGAGTTTGCTGTTTGTCCAAATGCCTCATGGAAAGCTTGTAAGAGTTTGTTTCACTCCTTGCTCCTCATGGCTGGGCAGCCAGAGGCCTGGGGTCTCTAGGGTAAAAGCCTTCAGTTAGGTTCCCTCTTGTTCATCTTTGAGGGCAGAGTTAAGGAACCAGGAGCAGAAGTGATAAAAACTTTAGCTTCTCCCACAAAAACATAGGGGAAGCAGCTCATAGGAGCTCTCAGGAAGCTGGAACTTTGTTCGGGGTAGTAGTAATAATTATGCATGAAAATGATAGTTAACTGTAATGATGATTGACCTCAGCATCTTTCTTTGAAAGAACTGCAAGTACATCCAAGTGTATTTCTTTCCTTTACCTTTTGGCCTCCCTCTGAGGTAGAAATAATTCCCTCTATTGTAGAGGGTGATCTCCCCCCAACGTCACAGAAAGAAGAGCCATCCCAGGTTCCCTTCCTTTGGTGAGCCAGAGAGGGAGGGTGGCATCCAGCCATAAAAACAGACCCCGTTGCCTTCTTCATTTTAATGATATCATAGCTTCTGGCATACTGAGGCTTTGAGGAGCAACAAACAGGAGGGATGAGAATTGGCAGTCTATGTGTACTTTTGACTTTTACAGGCCTGTTGGTGTGCTTTTATACACTGTGAGATTTCATGTTAATTCATTCCTGTGATGGAGTAAGATTACTGTGCCCATTTTACATAGGGGTAAACTAAGGATTTGTTAAGTGATTAACCAAACCTATCTCAGCAGATTGGATTAAGACTTAAGTTTCTTGATTGATCATTCTATTAGCTACTGCTACATAAACTCTCTGGTGAGCTATCTGCCTGGTAGTAATTTCTGGAAATAGGCAGAACAGTCAAGACACTAAGTTAACTCTGTCCTTAAGCAAGGCCCCTAAGGCAACTATGTGGGCTTTGAGGCCTGATGTCTGATAAGAGCTTGTTTACTGCTATCAGAAAGTAACTAAGAGAAAGATTTTTTCGTGACAGGGTCTTACTACGAAGTCCATTCTGAACTCGCTGTGTAGCCCAGGCTAGCCTCAAACTTTCCATCCTCCTACCTCAGACTTCGTAATGCTGGCTGGGGAGAAAGAATCTTGATTAGTTATATCCATGCTCTTTTTGTCAAATCAGCCTGATACCTTAGTTGAATGAAGTCATGGAGTTATTTTTAGTATCTGTAGAGTTGAAATACAATCAATTATCTTGACCATTTTTTAATTTTCTTGTCTTTTTCTTAGTACTAGGGATTCAACCCAGGGCCTTCACACCAAGCTTCATCCCCAGCCCTTATTTTTATTCTTTTGTTACTGGGAATTGAACTCCGGGCCTCGCAGTTTTCAGGCAGGTGCTATGCTGTTGAGCTACATCCTGGCCCTTTGTTTTATTTTATTCTCTTAGTACCAGGGATCGAACTCAGGACCTTGGGCTTGCAAGGCAGGCAGCAGAACCACTGAGCTAAATCCCCAGCCGATTTATTTCATTTTTTGAGGTAAGGTCTCACTATGTAGCTCAGGCTGTCCTCAAACTCAAGGCAGTCCTCCTGCCTCAGCCTCTTAAGTGCTGGGATTACAGGTGTGCACCACCACATAGAGCTTAAACAAGTGACAGATTTGTTAGATGCCTATTAATTTTTTTCTTGGAGTGCTGAGGATCAAACCCCAGACCCTACCCATGCTAGGCAAATGCTCTACCACTGAGCTACCCCTCAGCCCCCTTTCTAAATTTTTAAATTTTGAGACAGTTTCTAAGTTGCCCAGCCTGGGGTTGAACCTAGTTATCCTCTTACTTCAGCCTTCCATAGTGCTGGGATTACAAGTGTGTACCACTGTGCCCGGCTTCTCATTTTATAGGAGAATATTCATAATACTTGTTTGGTTTTGGTTTTTTGTTTGGTTTTTTGGTACCTGGAGTCGAACTCACGACCTTGCTCTTGGGAGGCAGGCACAGTGCCACTGAGCTAAATTCCTGGCCCATTCATAATATTTATAGAAAAATAATACTATATCAGCTGTTAAGGCTATAGAAGGACATAAAATCCTATTTACCCTCATCTGTTGCATTTGTTTGTGACAGGGCCTTGTTATATAGTCTAGGCTGGCCTTGAACTCACTATATAGCTCAGACTATCCTTGAACTCTCAGTGATCTTCCTGTCTCAGCTAAGTGCTGGGATTACAGGTGTACGCCACCATGCCCAGCTAGTCTGGTCTTTCTGATGCAGGAAGAAGTCATGCCTATAACCATTGCTCTTCCCTATACTTTATTTTGTAGTTTAGGAGAATACCTCTTGGCTTCTACCTAGAAGATAAAGTATCAGGCCAATCAGGATGGAAATAACCATTTGGGCATTGCTCTCATTTAAGCTGTTTTCTAAGTGGTGCTGGTATTCCAGGTAGAAAGCAGAGCATGAGTCAGGTTAGGAGTAAATAGGTTTCAGTTTGCTTGCCGAGTCCAGTTCAGTTTACTGGATATCTGGAGTGCCAAGTTCAGAATGTTTTTGAGGCTGTGTTTAGGTTTAGCAGGAAAGAGCTGTGTTCAATTAATGATGTCTGCCAAAGGTCTGGCATAGGGTTGCTGTGGTATGTATCCCATGCATTTTCCATCTCTGGACTAGGTACATCTCTAATATCACTTGGGGCTGGCCCCTCTGTAATTGGCAGACTCAGCAGGCATGACTGGAGAGGGAAGTCCCAATGGTGCTAGAATGGTGCTGCAGTGGCAGAAGACGGCTCACAAGTGAGGTCTGGAAGAACAACAGGGAAGACATCCATCATTTGCTCCAAAGTGTGCAAGTCAGATCCTGGGGAGAATCATGATAACTCTGATCACTGAGCAGCTACAGAAGCAGACTCTGGATGAGCTGAAATGCACACGCTTCAGCATCAGTCTGGTAAAAGATCAGTCTTCCTGCTTCTCCATGACCCCTTCCCCTTTTTTCTGAGGCTGTTTGTTGCTACTATTTTACCCTTGTCCTGTGTTGTATGAATATCGTACTTATATACTGGAAGAGCCCACTAAAGCCTCACAACCCAGCCCAAAAGGAAGGGGGCAGGGACTTTTCCACTGGTAGAGAAGGGACATCAAAACTTGGGTGGAGAAGGGTTTAAGGTATTGGAAGCTACGGATTGTTTTACTCACTAACTTTGGGAAGACAATAGGAGGAGAACACTTAGGAGACTCTTTAACACCCCTGGAACCCATGAATTGCAGGGAAAAATTGGAGAGGGCTCTTAGAAATCTGTCAGTGTGTCCTGAACCTGAATCATGATGGACATTCTGTCTCTCTCTCTCTTAGCCTTTGCCTGATCATGCAGACATCTCCAACTGTGGGAACCCTTTCCAGCTTGTGTCTGGTAAGGTATCGTGTGCATGTGTCATGTGTTTGCTCATGTCCCTGTCTAGATATTTCTCACATTGACTACCAGTGACCAGAATTAACTAGTCTAGCTCTAGAACTTTCTTGCCAGAGGGTCACTTTCTAAGGTCACCCTTGTTTCCATTTTACTGTCCCAGCATATGTTATAGTCTGTTTATTTTTTATTTTTTTGGTACCAGGGATTGAACTTGGGACCTTGCGCTTGCAGGACAGGCGCAGTGCCACTGAGCTAAATCCCCAGCCCTAGTCTGTTTATTTTTATTTGCCCTTATAGAGACTTTTCTGATTAAATTTTTTAAAATAGATAATACATTTACATGGTTCAAAAATTTTAAAATAACAAAAATGTTACACTGTAAAAGTCTTCTGCCCACTATCTACTGAGCTCTCACTGCCTCCCTAAAAGTAACTGCTGGATCTGGGCCCAGTGGTGGAGTGCTGAGGCCCTGCATTTGAACCAGGCACTCAAAAAAGTAACTCCTATTACTAGTTTCTTGTATATCTGACCTGAATTTCTTTATATGAATAGAAAGAAATATAACATTCTTTTTCCCACTTTTGTAATATCAAAGGTGGGCCAGCGATTTAGCTCAGTGGTGCCACCGCCTGCCTCACAAGAACAAGGTCCCGAGTTCAATCCCTGGTACCAATAAAATAATAATAATATAAAGGTTATATATTATATGTTATTTTATGTCTTTATTTTGAGACAGGGTTATGCCATGTAATTCAGGCTGGCCTTGAACACACTATGTAGCTCAGGCTGGTCTTGCACTCCTGGTTCAAGTATGCCTCAGCATCCTGCCTTAGCATCCTAAATGCTGGGATTACAGATGTGCGCCACCAACCTGGCCTATCCCTTTTATTTGTTTTTTTTTTTTTTGGTACCAGGGATTGAACTTGGGACCTTGTGCCTGCAAGGCAGGTGCTGGAACCACTGAGCTAAATCCCTGGCCCTTTGCCTTTTAAAAAAAAACTTAATGCAAGAAGGAAATGGAATTAGTATGAGAAAAGGAAAAACTAGGGTGAGGATTTAGCTCAGTGGTTTTACCACCTGCTGCACAAGCACGAGGACCCAAGTTTGATCCCTGTTACCAAAAAAAAACAGGAAAAAATAGAAACAGAGTCTTTGTAAATAGGGAGGGGCAGAGGGGTTGAAGGGAGGACAGGAGAATGGGGAAAAAGTAAGAACCAAGATGGAGTATGTAAAGGTACAAATTTCTAATGCTGAATATCATTATATTGTATACCTAAAATATACCAATGAAATTAATTTAAAAAAATTTAATGCATCTAGATCTTTCCCTGTCAGTATGCTGAGCATTTCCATCTTTCATATGGCTGCGTATTCTTACACTGAATGGATAGATGTATCAGTTTATTTAACCAATCTCCTATAATGTATATTTACTTCTAGTCTTCACTGCATAAAACTATAGTGAATCATCTTATATATATAGATAATTTTTCACATAGGATAATCTACCTAAGGTGTAAATTCCTAGATAATGAATTAATCGAAGGGCCTATGATTATAGGCATAACTAGTATACAGCTAGAACTCCCTAAGATATGCTGTGGGATGTTCTGCATCTTGTTTTCTTTTTCTGGGATACCTGACAAGGGAATGAGTTGTCAAAAGAATCTTCATTCAGTGTCTTCCTGCCGTTTATTAAATATTTGCTGAGTGTCAGGTGTTGTGCCGTAAGGACCCATGAGCCCTGCCCTCTTGGAGGTTAATAATAGGGGGAAGAGCTATTGACCAAATAGAGTTAGGTATGAATTTTGCCAATATTGAGTCTGACTTCATATACTTGTCATTTGCCCCAAATATCCAGCCCCTGCAGAATTCCAGCCTGCTAGCCAACAGAGTTTTGAGTAGGCTCTTTGTCCCTTAGTGAGCTATCTCCCAGAAGTCACAATTCTGGTTGGAATGCAGTGAGTGAGAATCATTCCTTTTAGCACATTTCCCCTTCTTTCCTTTGGTTTCCCCATCTGTTTGGATTTATGAGAAGCCTAAGAGAAAGGAACCAGAGTATGTGGGTGGCCAGACACAAAGGAACATGAGCAGCATAAAGTCTTAGGGATCCCCAAACACAGGTCCCAGTATCAGAGGCCTTCCCCACCCTTTTTACCCTCCCTGTGAATTAAAGTGATCTCTTAACCTGTTTGATCACCTCTTTCTTTTTGGCAGCCCTGACTCCTGTCTTGGTCTTGTTAACATAGGAAAATGGAAAGGCAGATAGTGCCAGGTGGAATGGAATAAGATGAGCAGGGTACACAACAGACATGTTTGTTTCTCTTGACTTGTTTTACCTATGAGAGGGAGTGGTAGGCAGGATATGAAATATGCTTTTGACTCCAGGTGATTGCTCACAGTGGAGGCAGTGTTGCATAGAAACCTAATCTTGGCCTCCGAAGACCTGAATTTGAATCTTGCTTTGGTTATTGATTTCTATGTGATTTGGAACAAGTTAGGAACTTTCCTTCTCTGTGAAATGGGGATAATCGTGGTACCTACCTCAAGGAAGTTTTTGGGAAATCACGGAAAGTGCTCAGTACATTGTCTGGCATATACACTCAAAAAAAAAAAAATGCTGGGCTGGGGATTTAACTCAGTGGTGCCACTGCCTGCTCAAGGTCCCAAGTTCAATCCCCAGTACCAAAAAAAAAAAAAGACTAAATCCAGGCATGGTGGTGCATGCCTATAATTCCAGCACTTGGGAGGCTGAGGCAGGATTGCCATGAGTTCAAGGCCAGCCTGAGCTATATAGTGAGTCCATGGTCAGCCTGAACTACAAAAAACAAAACAAAAAAAGTTAGGTATTATTAATATTTTTATTGCTAATGTTTTTCCAGAAGGTGCTTCCTGGAGGGGCCTTTCCCACTGTTCCTGTGCTGAGTTCCAGGACAGCCTCAGCTTCAGCTACCACCCCTCAGGCTTGAGCCTGCACCTCAGACCACCTAGTCGGGGAAGCTCCCCACAGGAGCAGCCCCTTTCCCAAATCCTAAGCCCTGAGCCCCCAGACCCAGAGAAGCTTCCTGTGCCCCCTGCTCCTCCATCCAAGAGGCACTGCCGCTCACTTTCAGTGCCCGTGGACCTGTCTCGCTGGCAGCCGGTGTGGCGGCCCGCCCCCTCCAAGCTGTGGACTCCCATCAAGCACCGGGGCAGTGGTGGAGGGGGTGGGCCGCAGGTGCCTCACCAGAGCCCCCCGAAGCGGGTCTCCAGCCTCAGGTTCCTCCAAGCTCCCAGTGCCTCTTCTCATTGTGCCCCAACCCATAGACCCTACAGCCCTCCTTTCTTCAGCCTGGCCCTGGCCCAAGATTCTTCTCAACCCTGTGCCACCTCCCCTCAAAGTGGCTCCTGGGAGAGCGACCCTGAGTCCTTGTCACCTTGCCCACCCCAGCGTCGCTTCTCCCTGTCACCCAGCCTGGGTCCACAGGCAAGCTGCTTCTTGCCCTCTGCTCGGAGCTCCCCTGCATCCTCCCCAGAGCTGCCCTGGCGACCTCGAGGTCTCCGAAACCTTCCCCGAAGCCGCTCACAGCCTTGTGATCTGGATGCCCGAAAAACTGGGATCAAGCGGCGCCACGAAGAGGACCCCCGACGCCTGCGGCCTTCCTTGGACTTTGACAAGATGAATCAGGTGGGACGAGCAAGACTAGGGGACCTTGGGTGGGAGTGGGGGTACTCTGTTCATACTTTTTATTTTGGATAAGGTCTGGTTTTGTAGTTCAGGCTGGCCTTGAACTCACTATGTGGCCTTGAACTTGAGGCAATCCTCTTGCATGCTAGGGTTACAAGTGTGTACCACCACACCCAGCTGTTCCTACTTGTTAGCTGTTGCCTATCTCCACACCCTCCTGGAAGGGCCTCCCCAGAGCTCTTTTCTGTCTGAGCTTTTACTAATGTTTGCATGGAACTGTTCTGGTCTTAGTACTAAAAGTTTCTGTCTGATAAGTGTCCTCAATTTCCCAGAGAAACTGGTGTGAGGACCATGTTAAAGCTTCCAGCAGGGATTCTAGATTATCCTGGCACAGGCACCTTCTCTCCTAAGAATGCATTAGCCATAAAAATCACATCGCCAGTGCCCCACGCCTGCTGAGGACTAGTTTTGCCACTTGCTCTTCACTGCTTTAAGTGGGCCTGTGAAGGCTTAAGGCAAGATGGGCTGTAACATTGTTCATCTGTTCAAAAAATGTTTTCTGGCTTCCTATTATGACTGCAGTTACTGTATGCACTTGCCCACTTGTTTCATGGTCTTCTTTTAGACTACTAGGTTATAAACTTCTTTGAGAATTTTTTCGTGTGTTCATACAATTATCTAGCCTTGCAGTGAGCACTTACTGAAAGCCCAAAATGTGTTGATCATTCATGGTGGCATGCACTTGTAACCCCAGCTATTTTGGAGGCTGAGGCAGGAGCACAACTTCAAGACCAGTTTGAGCAAAAACTCTGACCTGAAATAAAATTTTGTTTGGTTTTTTGAGATGGAGTCTCACTATGTAGTTCAGGCTGGCCTTGAACTTGCTGTGTAGCCCAGGCTGGCCTGGAAATCACAGCTATCCTCCTGCCTCAGCCTACTGAGTGCTAGGATTATAAGTGTGCACCACCATGCCCAGGTTAAAATTAATTTTAAAAAAAAATTCTAATCACCCTAAAATTACAAGGACCTAGCATTTCTTTCTTTCTTTTTTTTTTCTTCAAAAGGGAAGGGGTTTATTTGGCTTACAGTTCATAGAGGTTTCAGTCCATAATCAGCTGGCTCCAAGGCTGGGACAGCAAACAAGCATCGCAGAGGTGAAATAAAATATTATTTATTTATTTATTTATTTATTTATTGCGGAACTAGGGATTGAACTCAGGACCTTGTGTTTGCCAGGCAGGTGCTGGCGCCATTGAGCTAAACTTCCGGCCCCTTAAATAAAATATTTTAAGACCTGAGAATGTACCTTAGTGGTAGAGTGCTTGGTTGCCTACTATGTGTGTGACCCTAGGTGTGATCCTAAGCACCTCAAAATAAACAGACAAAAAACAGTGTACTTGACTTTGAGTAAGCACTGGCAGAACAGACCAGGAGAATTAAGCACATTATGTTCCTATCTGCATGGAATTTATGAATGAATTTTTGTTCTTGAATCTGATGGAAACTTTGAGCTCTTTCCTCAGAGAAATGTGCATGTGTACTAAATTTTCCCCCCAATTTTTTTTTTCTTTTTTTGATCTTTTTTGAGATGGTCTCACTATGCAGTTTAGGCTGTCCTTGAACTCACTCTGTAGCCCAGGCTGGCCTCAAACTGGAGGCAATCCTCCTACCTCAGCCTCCCAAGTGCTAGGATTACAGGTGTATTCCACCACACCCACCTCCAATTTCCCACATTTTGTCAGGGAGTAGCAGCCTTACCCTAAAACCTAAAATTCTTGCCTTCAGGTATAACAGAGAGGGCCACTTTGAAATATATTTTAGGGACGTTCGGGGAAGGTAGTATCTTTCTTTGTCTTCTTAAGTTTCTTGTTTGTTTGACAGAAACCATACTCAGGAGCTCTCTGTCTCCAAGAAACAGCCCGGGAAGGCAGCGGCATCTCTCCACCATGGTTCATGGCCTGTAGCCCTGCACCTCTCTCTGCTTCCTGCAGCCCCGTTGAGGGTTCCTCCCAGGTGCTGAGTGAAAGTGAAGAGGAGGAAGAGGGGGCTGTGCGGTGGGGGCGACAGGCATTGAGCAAGCAGACACTGTGCCAGCAGGACTTTGGGGACCTGGACTTGAATCTGATTGAGGAGAACTAAAACTGAGAGGCTATTTCCTGGGGCCACACAGACTGACTCTCTTATGGCTACTAACAAGTGTCGAGGCCTCAAGGCTGAGGGCCCAGCCTGGGAATGGGGGTGAGTGGAGGGGTCCGACTCAGGGCAGCCGGAAATCTCACTCCAGCAAGCTCGACCATGGCAAGAGACTGGCCGGGACAAGATAAACAGCTGGTGGCGGGAGGGATGGCCCCAGAGCAGACCCTTCCCATGGCGGCCCTGAGTGTAAGTATCCTTGCCCCTGGGAGAGCAATGGGCAGGGAAGGAAGGGGTCTGCAGACCCCAGCTCGGGGAATTTCACTAGCCCCTTTGCTTCAAAGGGCACTTGTGTCTTAGAATTTGGCCAGGGTGGGGGTGTTCAGTCAGCCTCCTTGGAGAAACTGTGTGAGAGTGTGTGCGTGCATGGGAGTGTACTTGTGGGAAGGTGTGTTTGCGTAGCCTTAGGGAAAGAAGGCAGTTGCTCCTTAACAGCAGAGCATCATGATACCCCCAGGATCTTGAGTTTTTTTACAGGATAGCAGGCTTGTTCAAGGAGTCAAGTTGAGGGCTCCAAGTTTTCCTTTTTTCTAAATATCTCTGGAACCAGTCTTGTAATCCATAGCATCACTGGCTCTAAAGGATTCTGTTTTGGGGTACAGCAGGGTCTTTTACTTGGTATGACCTCTGCTAATGATCTTCAGTCCCAACCCCTCCCCACTAGATATATCTAGTTTTGAGGGCTGCAGAGGGCTCACTACATTTACCTTGAGCTGGCCTTTTTTTTCATCAGATTGTCTAGGCTGTTTGCAACCTGCCTCTCTTGCTCTGAGTAGGTATGAGCACATCTGGGCAACTGAGGCAGGGCTGAAGGGCTTCATTTCTCTTCTTCACTGTTAGGACCTTTTCTTCTTGTCTTCTGACCTTCCAGGTCAGAGGAAGGGAGAAAGGCCCAGTCTTGGCCCCCTGCATCTGTTGAGGCAGACTTGCAGCAGGTGCAGTGGGCTTTAGTTCCCAACAGAGAGGGTTGCACTTAACCCAGCACTGCCCCTTGGAAGCAGGCTGTAAGGAAGCCTGTTACAAGATCCAGGCCCAGCTTCTTTTCTGACCTGCTTGAGCAAAAAGAAAGGGGTGTTCAGCATTTTAACAGTTTGCTTGTCTTCCACTCCTTCCAGGAAATGTTTATTTGCCTCTAATTGGCCCTGAGAGACAGAGAGAGGTTGGGGCTTACTGAGGAATTGGCTGAGGATGTGTAAAGCAAAGGCTGTGAGAAACAGCTGGGGGTTTATTATTGTTGGATTGAATTTCCTTTTTTGTTTCTCACCTACAGCTTGAGCCAGGGCAGCAGGTCCCAGTGGCTGCAGTGTGGGTTTAAGTGATGGGTTTGAAACTGCACATACTTTGGGAGGGCTGGCACCAGTGGATATGCATTCTGAAGCTGCTGCCACAGTATCCTGTGAGGCTTTGTCCAGATTTAGTTAGACCCAGCATGACCAAATTGGACCCGCCCTTCCTGTTTATTGCAAGAAGGGCATTTTTCTATTCAATTTTCAGGGTGTCTTAGGACCCAATTCCTCATGTTAGGGGCAAAGACCAAGGTCTGTTTTTTCTTCCTTGTGGAATTAAGCCTGACATTTTCTGCATTGCCCATGTGTTGGAAAGGTGAAGCTCCAGCCTCTGCCTCCACTCCAGAGGTAGTAGCCTTGTGTCGTGAGCCTGTGGCCCTCAGAAGCTCTCCCCTTCCAGGGCTCCTCCTGTCTCCTGGTTAGTTACCACATACTAACACTGGGCTACAAGTTCTCCAGGGGCCTGAGAGAGGCTCTCTGGAGAATCCAGGGAAACTGAGCCCAGGAGTTACCCATCCTTACATTCATCCCTCCCCTGGTTCTTCTCCCTCATCAGGCCATAATTTCCCAGGTGCCAGCTTCTTTTCCTCCTGAGGCATCCTCATCCCTGGGCTCTCTGCTGCAGGTTGGCTGTGCCAGCTTCCATTAGGCTACTGGCAATGCCTATGGGGTCTCTGCAGGCCCTAAGCTAAAGAAGTGAGGGCAGTGATTCTGCCTTCATCCTGGCTTCCCCAAAGCCCTAGGGCATCATCCTTAGGGAAGAAGGCCTACAGTTGTCATATTTTAATTCCATTACTTTAAGTCTGGAAAGTTAATCTAGTTAGAACTATCATCTTGCTTTCCAATCTAAGCACCTGTGGCCCTGGAACAAGCCTTTTCCAGAAGTGGTTCATTTTGCTTCATACAGTAGATCTGTCCTAACAGTTCTATGTAAGCCAAATGCTATTTTTCGATGCATTTGGACTGCTGACCATTTAAAAGCAGCCTATGATTGCTTCTTTTGTAAAGCAAGCAACTTCCCTTTACTTTAGCTGTTTTGACTCTTTGGGTTTTCACATATCGGGCTTGCCCAGAGTGGAGCACACCTCCAGGGCTTGTGGCTGACGCTGGGTAGACGTCTGCATCTGTGCTGTGTGTGTGGTGTGGCTGGCTGGTAAGTGAGTAACCCTGCGTACATGAGTGAAGCCACTCCCAGGCTGGTGCTCTCCTCCTATGCCCGATGACTGCCCAGTGGCAGCCTTAGCTGCCCTTCACTCCCACCTGCTGCCAAAGTCCCTGTGCTAATGGGATTACAAAAACAAAAAAAAGTGGAAAAAAAAATTTTCGTAAAGTTTGTTTTATATTAAAAAATCCATGAGTCTGTGTGTGTTAAACATGAGGTTCTGCCTCTGTGGCTGTGTTTGAAAAAATAAAGTTTTATTAGAATAACCCATTTTCCCAAGCAACCTTGTGTACTATAGTGTCTTTTTCCTTCCACTACAAAGAAAGGCAAGGAAAGGAAAAAGCTACCTAATATTCAGCCCCTTTATCTAAAACATGGTTGGGCCTTCTACCACCATAGATTAGATCTTACCACCCATGCTTCTGTTAAGACCTTGGTTATTTCTTTTCTTTCTTTCTTTCTTTTTTTTTTTTTTTTTTGATACTGGGGATCGAACTCAGGACCTTGCGCTTTTGAGGGAGGCGCCAAACCTCTGAGCTAAATCCCCGGCAACCTTGGTTATTTCTGATGGTCTAATTTGGTGTCCTTTCCTGGCACTTACCTGTTCCCTCTTCCCTGCTGTCTTCCAGATCATTGAAGTATTAATACTTTGTAGTTCCCTGAGAAATGTTTGCTAGTACGATCAGAAAGTTGTCTAGATTGGGCTTTGGGTGGTGGGGAGAAGGCAGGGTGGAAAACAATTTCTTAAGAGTTTTCACTTGTTAACATCCTGGAGAGATAGAGATTTAGTCATCAGAATTTAGATTTGAAAGACCTAGGGAACTTCTTCATCCTAAGAATAGTGCTTTTGGAAAATGCTGCTAGCAGCAAAGCTCTTTTGTCCTAGAGGAGGGTATTTTCCCTAATGCTTCAATTTGGAGTGTTTGCTGAAAGAAGCTGTGTGGCACAAGTCTTTAGACTTTTCTATTCTAACCTTTCTTCTTCCTATGTTAGCATTCTTACAATGTGTGTGAGTGAAATGTAGTTGCTTAGAGATCCAGGCAAGAGCCTCTGTCCCTAAGGCTTAGCTTTTCTTTACCAGCGGTGGTGCTGACTTGCCAGGCAGCAAGAAGAGTCAAGTTGCTTAGCCTACGTCCTAGTTTCCTGCTTCAAATTGATGGCACTCATTATTGAATACCAATGAAGTATTCAGGGAGACAGGATTGGCTTGACTACTTTTGTGAAGGTGAAAATATACCCTAGAAAGAAAGAGAGTCGTCACCTGCCCTGGAAACAAAAGAGGGGCTTTGGAGGTGGGTAGGGTATGTGGTTAAGGTTAGGTTAGAATTACAATTTTTTGTGTTTTGTTTTGTTTTGGTACCGGGGATCGAACTCAGGTCCTTAGCTTTCGAGGCAGGTGTTGCAACCACTGAGCTAAATCCCTGGCCCTAGAATTACATTTAAAAACAAAAAACAGTACAGGGAACTGAACCCAGGACCCTCACACTGAGCTACTGTGCCACCCTTTTTTAAAAATTTTGGGACAGGATCTTGCTAATTTGCTCAAATTGGGCTTGAACTTGTGATCCTCCTGCCTCAGCCTCCCAGAGTATTGGGGATTACAGGTGTGCCCATTGGTTTTTCCTTTTTTTTTTTTTTTTTTTTTTTTGACACCAGATTTTGATAATCTAGACCAGCCTTGAGCTCCTGTAGCCCAGGCTGGTCTGAAACTCACAATCTACTGCTTCAGCCTCCCAGAATGCTGGGAGGTGTGTGCCACTATTTCTGGCAGGTTTGAGCATCTAAAATGACTTTATTCTTCTTTTTTAAAAAATTTATACCTGGGTTTGGTTTTTTTGTGTTCTTGTTTTCTTATGATGCTGAGGACTGAACCTAAGGTCTTCCGTATACTAGGCAAATTCTCTCCTACTGAGCTACATCCTCAGTCCTATAAGTTGGGTTTTTCTTTTTCCTACTTTTTCGATGCAGCCACGTGTGGTATCTTTTTTCATTTTTGAAGTCCTGCTAGTATAGGAAAGAATGTAAACTCCATGTGGCCAAGGGCTTTGTTTTAGTCAGTGTTCTCAAGACTTTGGAAAGTTCCTGACACATGAAAAGTGCCTACCATATTTGTTGAATAAACTTCCTCTTTGCCCTTCCCATTTCTGAGCTAACCTGCATTTCTGTCTCTGTTGCTGTGAGAAGCCAGTTGTAGACACTGGGGCAGTAGTTAAAGCTTTATATGAGAGAAAATCCCAACAGTTAATTTTCCTCTTAGCAACTATAACTTATAGGACATGTGCTTCTTTTGCAATGCTGAGGATTGAACCTAGGGCCTTGAACATGCCAGCAAGTACTCTACTACTGAGCTACAACCCCATCCAGCCACGTGCATCAAGTGTCTTTCAGCCCAGAAAAGCAATCTGAGTCAGGCCTGAGGTTGGCTGTGGGAGATGGGAGTTAATAAGGAATAGAGAAGGAATGTTCCACAGAATAGTTCTAGAATGACTTCTTTAGATGCTTTGTACTTCAAAATCTTGATGTCCCCCCACCCCAGCCCTTGCTACAAGAAAAGTAGGACAAAGGTGTAGACAAAGTAATGGAGACCAGATAACTAAACAGGCAAGCGCAGACACCTTGGACTAAGAACCAGCTACTACTTTTACCTGTCTGTAGGGAAGATTGGTGAAAGAAATAGCCACTTTTAGAGCAATGGTCATGGTTTATTACTGGACTGTTTACCTTACTGCTTTGTGTCTGGTTTGTATTTACTGTCTTTGCATCCACAAGACCAGGGAATGTGCCAGTTTGACATTAGCATTAAATGATTGATATTTCCTATTAACTGGTGTGAACAACAATCTAACCAAAATCTTAGGATGTCTACAGATTTCTACAGGAACAATCAGTATCTTACACTTGTATTAGATGGTTTATTTTTTATTTTTTTGAGACAGGGTCTTGCTATGTAGTTAAGGCCAGTCTTGAACTGTGTAGTCCAGGCTGGCCTCAAACTAGCAGCAATCCTGCCTCAGCCTCCCAAGTGCTGGGATTACAGGTGGGTACCACCACACCCGGCTAGATGAATTTAGATAGGAGTTGTGGGACTCTTTATGGGGGGGTGTGTGCCGGGGATCGAACTCAGTCCTTGCGCTTGCACAACAGGTGGTGAAACCACTGAGCTAAATCCCCGGCCCGGGACTCTTTGCCATTAGCCCCACTTGTTCCACGGTAAGATGAAGTGCTACTGAATTAGGGAAGAGAGTCCCTTTGTTACAGTCTCTTTCTGATTCCCATAAAAGTGGAGTTCCACTTAGGCTTAATACCATTGGAAACTAGAAAGGGGAAGAAGCTCCATGGGTTTAACGCAGGACACCATAACGTTGGCCTTCAGCCAGTGGAAAGACTGTTATTATCACATCCAATGGATGCAATGCATTGGCCAATTAGAAACATAACGTAACTGGTATGTAGAATGGGATGGAATCATATTATGGACCAATGAAAATGGAAAGTCTGTGTCCTACAGACTGACGGGGACAATGTTTCCTAAAAGGTGACAGGGAGGGTAGTCATATTTTCAGGATAGGAATGGGGTATCAGGAACACTAACTTCTTAGCTCAAAACACTCACCGTTTAGGTACCTGGCCCCTCCTCCTCCCACCCCGTTAAATGTCTTTAGTGTTTGCAAAACGGTAAGTTAAAAACTGCTGGAATATGCTCAGATATGGAACTACCTGAAGGGAGACTGACTAGGTATGGTGTCATGGGGGCCTAAAGCACCGCCCACTCCACCCGCCTCGGGCCGAATCTGCAATTCCCCTCCCATCCGCAGGGGGCACTGCAAGCCCTGGGGAGATCGGGGCGGAGCGATGCGAGGGGCCTGGAGCTGCCGTCCCGCTCCGAGTCGCTGGGGGCGCTGTGCAGAACTCGGGCTGCGGCTCCGCTCCCAGCCACTGGGGGCGCTGCGCGGCGCCGGTGTTTGGTCGTGGTTGGTGGTGGCTGTTGGGGGGGTGGGGGGAGCGGCGGCCGCGGGTGGTGCGGAGGGAGGCCTTGCGGGCGGATCGGGCGCTCGGTGGCGGCGGTGGTGGGAGGTGTCGGGCGGGAGCGCGGGTCCGGCCGCCCCTGGCGATGGCGGACGCGGCGGCCTCCCCGGTGGGCAAGCGGCTGCTGCTTCTGTTCGCGGACACCGCGGCCTCAGCTTCAGCCTCGGCCCCGGCGGCGGCGGCGGCGGCAGCGGGCGGAGATCCGGGGCCTGCGCTGCGCACTCGGGCCTGGCGGGCCGGCACGGTGCGGGCCATGAGCGGGGCGGTGCCCCAGGACCTCGCGGTGAGTAGCGGCCGAGGTGGGCACTCGAGGCCGGGGTTGCAGGGCCTGTTTTGTGGGAGGCCTCCCCGGGGGCCTTTGTGAGGGGGCGGTGGGGTGGGGGTGACCCAGTTCCGCGTCCCCGGATCTTCTCAGCGCCCCCCGCAGGCACCTGGGCACCCCGAGTTCTGGCCAGCATGGCTTCCGCGTCGGGGTGCGCGCCCCAATGAACCCTCGGGGGGCGGCCGGGGCGCCGGGATCTGTAGCTCGCAGCCGGCAGGCCCCGCCTCCTGGGCGACCCTTCGCTCAGCTTCCCCACCACACGCCCTACGAGCTGGGTCTCGAGTCCTAGGTGCCCGAGGAGCACCGTGGAAGACGCCGGTCCGTTGTCCGCGGTCTCTCCCAGGACTCCTGCGCCCCATTCCCTTTCTCCGAAGCCTGGTGTGGGGCGGGAATGTGGGCATTGGTGGGAGGCTCAGGGGCTGCAGTTGGAGCTGCTCGGGACTTTTTAAAAAAAATAATCTGGCAGTTACTTCCTCGTCTGACCCGGGCTCTTTGGCCTGGCCCTCTTCAGAAAGGCCAACTCTCGGGATTGTCCCGAGCTCCTTTCTCTCCACGCTTCTGGGTGACAGGAGCTGCAGTTGTGGCTTTTTGATAAGTTTGAGATCTGACTTAGGAGCCGAATGGGCTGCCGGGTGGTGCTTTTTGGCTCCCCCCTCAGCTACTCCCCCCTTCCTCCAAGCCTTGGGAGAGGTTTTGTTTTGAAACTTTGTGTTGGGTCTCTGCCGCTGTTGCCTACTTGCCTTAGTGTATTTTGTGATTCAAATTGTTCAGTAATAGAATTTAACTACCATCGGGGCTATGCTGTGTTATTTTTGTTAATGTGGCGGCAAAATACTCTGAGTTTTGGCTAGCCACTTCGGTTCCTCATTCTGATAGCAGCCCTAGCTTCTCTGGTGAGATAAGACTATGAAAAATAAGGGGCAATGGGTGTTTTG